ATCTATCTATCTATCTATCTATCTATCTATCTATCTATCTATCTATCCTGGGCCCTTGGCCTTTCCCTGGGATATCCAATGGGCACTTTTGACAAGGACCACCATAAGCCACTGAAATTCTAGGGATGCAGCTTGGTAGATTACAAGGGGAGCAGTGTGATAGCCTAGTGAGTGCTATCTCTCTGCAGAAGAAGGCATACACCATGGCTCTGGAGGAAAGGACCAGGAAGGAACAAAGCTGGGATGTGTTTGCTTCCCATGCCTGCTTCAGACTTGCTATACACTGACTATTTCCTATATACACTGAGGACTTGCTATACACTGAGTACTTGCTGTACACTAAGTACTTGTTTTACACTCCGTATATACTATACACCAAGTACTTGCTATACACTGAGTATGTTCTATACACGAAGTACTTACTGTACATGGAGTACATACTATACACTGAGTATGTTCTATACACAGTACTTGCTGTACACGGTGCACACTGCACTGAGTACTCTGCACTGAGTACCACTGGAAGTGCTGAGGCTAGCATGCGCAAGGCCCCAGGTACAGAGAAAGGGAGCATGGGGGCTGCGAGGAAGACAGAGGGCATTCATGCAGACATGGGCAGGGTGAGGAGGGAGCTGCTTTAGGAAAAGGCTTATTTGGCTTATAGAGGACATTTGAAGAGGTCTTAAAGAAAGAGGAATAATCCTTGGGCACAGAAGGTGGGAGGGAGGTTCAGAAGCCCAGCACAAGCAAGGAATGAAAAGTAGGGAGGATTGAGCTGTCTACACAGAGCAGGGCTAGGGCTGCATTGCCTGGCCAGGTGAGACGGCACAGAGTGTGAAGAGTTGGACAGTGTGTAAGAAGGAGGGTGTTGGGGAATGACCACGAAGAGTTTGAGTGTGTATTTGCTCGGATGTGGAAGGCAGTCTATCTGGAGCAAGCCAGCAACTTTTTTGAAAGATGCTCTGAAATGACACACAGGGAAGAGTCAGGCTATTCAACAAGGGTGTGGGAATTACCTGCTGTCAAAGCAGTGAGAACTTCTGTGACGGTGATGTGCAGTGAGAACATTTATCCTGCTTGGGGATAGCACTCTGTGAAGTAATATTTGGCCATACTATGAAAAGTGTGCTCAACATTTTCTACTCAATTTCACGAAAATAAAACTTTGTAGGGAAGCTGGAGAAAATGCTCAGCAGCCTCTTACAGAGGACCTGGATTTAGTTCCCAGCATCAACATGATGGCTCACAACTGTCTGTAGTTCCCATTCCACAGGATCCACCGCTCTCTTCTGGCCCCTGTGGGCAATACACAAGCATGCTGCCCTTTCACACATGCAGGCCAATGCTCATACACATAAAATGAAAATAATAAACAAAATCTTTAGAAGAACTTTCAATGGGAATGGTATAATACCTAGCATGTATGATGCTGTGCATTCAGTCTCTAGCACTGAAAAAAAAAATCCACTTTTCTATTTCATTAATATATATATATATATATATATATATATATATATATATATATATATATTATTGGAAACAGGGAGTGGTGGCACATGCCTTTAATCCCAGAATTTGGGAGGCAGAGGCAGGTGGCTCTCTGTGAGTTCGAGGCCAGCCAGCCTTTTCTACATAGTGAGTTCCAGGCCAGCCAGGGTTATATAGTCTCAGGATCTCTCTCTCTTTCTCTCTCTCTGTCTCCATCTCCATATAAAATATTTATTATTCAGTCTTAAGAAGAAGAAGGTTCTAACAGACTGCGCCATGGATGAAGCTTGAAGCTATTATACTAAATGTAATGAGACAGACAAAGGGCCAGGACTGTATAACTCCACTTTGGTAAAGTATTTCGAGTTACCAAACACAGAGACAGAAAGTAGAAAAGCGATTGCTGGAGGCTTTGAGGAGGATGAGATATTAGTCATCATTTAATGAGTAAAAAAATTCTACTCGGGAAGATGAAAAAACAAAATAGATGAGCTTAGTGTTCCTGGCTGTGTGCTCACAACTGGGTAAAATGGTCAAGTTCAGACTATGTAGCTTTTTA